AAACGAACGAGGCAGCTTGAAATTTGTATTCTTTCGCCCCGCCGTGCACCGAAGTAACCAAACGCGCGCTTACAAAGTAGAAAGTTGTCCCTTCGGAACGAGCCAATACCGAAGTTGGCGCTACACGTTCGAATTCGTGCAACTCCTGCCGCCTAGCAAAGTAAACATTTTCTATCTGCATTCCAGCAAACAGGAGTTAAATGGAAAATCTCGATTTTAAAACACGCCACGGTCGCAGATTCGTTTCCCAACGAAGCGGACACGACCGTCCGGCGAAACCTTGACCCAGAGTTGCGAAACGCTCGCCCGCTGTACTCCGTACAAGCGCCGATTCGTTTGACCGGTCGTTCATCGTTTCAACGCCCGCGAGACCGTGGTCGGAGATAATGGAAAGATGAAAAATTCAACGGGATCGTTACCTGGCTGGCCCGCTAAATATTGCGAAAGCCGGCGTTTCGATTGGTTTTCACGGGCGCGGCCGTCGCCGCGGGCTCGAACTTCCCGAGGATGTTTCCGCGCGAGTTTTACAAGCGGCGGGGCCGCGTTTGATTTTTATTCGACGATGGAACAGGCGTTCGATTCGCTTTTGCCGCGGGACCCGGCAAATTACGGTCGTCCGATCGCGAACGCCTCGTTAACCGATGAACCTAATTAAAGAACGTCATCAGCGGCGTTGTATCGTATTATCCAGGGCCCCGGGCCATCCTGCTCGAATTTAACGTCCGTCGCGGATAACGCGGTTTTTCGCAGCTTGCAACTCGCACGCGAGCCACAGCTTGCAGGCTATTTCGACGTTTCTTTCGCCCGAGATGATCCCAGCGCGCGTGTCTTTAACCCGAAAAGTACTTAACCCTTTGCACTCCGCTGTCCCCTCTCGTGGGACATCGTAATTCTAGCATATCATTATTTCAGCGCAACTTTTTGAGACATGCATGTTTCCCTGAAGTTTTCTCTTGAAATGGCACAAGAAATCAAATCAAAATATAGTAAAATTACTAAGCGGGTTTTGTGTCAGACGAGAACGTGAGAGGCGTGCTCACGACGGTCCGAGCAAATTTGTCCGATAAGGCAAATTTGAGAGATTATAATCATAATTATAATCATAAATAAGCAAGTCTAAATCTGGAGGAAAAGATTTTCAAAGCTGAACTCAGTCTGGTTTGAAGCGTCGAGCGGTATAGATAGATCTAACGAGTGAGAAAATCGGAAAAGTGATTCTTCTCTTGGTAAATAAATTGTTTGGTAAAAGTTTTTTTGGTAAATACTATCTTGTGAGTTAGTAATAACAATTAGAAATTTTCAACCTATGTATTTATTCATATTTTTTACTAGAACAATGGCAAAACGTTCAAACACGAATGAGTCTCATGACGCAAGTAGTAGTGAAGATGAGCTCCGGATAGACGTTTATATAGATATGTTAGAAAGTCTAACTTTCTTCTACAGTCAGTCTATCGTTTTGATAGCAGTGATAGTGATATCGTCTAAGCAACAAGGCGACAAGAGAAAAAGTTCGCATAGCGATTACAACAACAATACAAAATTATAAAACAAACAATAACAAAATTATAAAAAATAAAATATTGATTTTTTTGCAAATTTCTCGATTTCAGCCAATTCATATAAGTCCAATATCATTATAATATGTTAGCTAGTTCCAAAACCATACTAAATAATACCAGGGTCTGTAAATGCCCGTTTCTGCCAAAAAGTGGCGCTAAGTAGCTGGTAGTCAACGTCCAGAATGGTTCGGAGTGCTAAGGGTTAAAAAGTACTCGTCACTCGCACGGACAAACCGCGGTCCAAATTCGTATCGATCGAGAGGAACAAGACTTTTTATTTTAGACAGCGAGAGAAAGTTGAGTTTTCCGCGGATTTTATTCGAGCTGCTGGATTCGTGACGACGAATAACGCGGCGCAGTTCGAATTAGCGTCGCCGTTCTGCCCCCGGATTAGCGTCAGTTATCTTCGTCGCGTATTTTCTTATTCCTCTCGCGTCGCTCGTCAAAATCCAATCCCCTCGGAGTTTCGAAATGGTACCTGTATCCCGTGCACATCGAGGTAATCCCGATTTCCCTTCGTTAATCGAAAACGAAATTTCCGTCCCGTTCCTGACGGTTCTCCTGAAAAACGAGCTCTTCCCGGACGCGGAGATTCGCTCGACTGTCGAAACAGCTCAGGAAAATGTTCGGCGAGATTGTTTAACGTTCAACGTTCGACGGGGCGGTTCCGCGCGAGACTAATTAGTAAATTTCTCGCGATCGACGCGAGAACGATTTCGTGTGTCGAAAATCCGACGGAAACCGCGGAAGGCGGCGGAGAACGACTGGCCGCGATCCAGGATTTCGTATCAACGTATCCGAGCGAATCGAACTGTTCGAGCGGCGTAATGAAACTCGCCGTCATTGCACGCCGGGCATCGCATCCGGTGCACGGGGTATCTTCATAAATTCCGTGTTGCCGCGTATCGAATCCGTCGACGGGTTGGTCAATTTGTCGACCCGACGTCTCGGCAGTCGTGACGCGCGAATCATCGCGGAAATGAGCGATGCGGGGTCGTGAAACCTGCGCGTCGAGAGAGGTCGTTTGTTGGACCATGATCCGTGTGCGGGACACATCGTTACGGGACGCGAGCTGTACGGACCGGCGCGCAGATTTTTACGACCCGACGGGAGAAACGATGAAGAAATTGCCGTCGCGTCAAAAGGCGAGATTTCACGATCGAGAGCTCGCCGAGCCGGGGAACGGACCCCGCGCCGCGCCTTCGGCCTCGACTTCGGCGAGCGCCGAGCACTGCACCGTAAATCACAGTTCGCCGGATTTCGAAAGATTCCCGCGCACCGAGGAAAAAACTGCCGGCTCGCGGGAACGCGACCGATTAACGAGGAAAGCGATTAGCGAAGGCAGCCGAACATTTTTGTTGCTCGCTGGCACGAGACGCTTCCGTCGATTGGACGGATAAATAAGATAGCGTCGTTCCGCCGACACGCTCTCTTTGCGCCGATTTCGTTCCGGTAAAGAGAAAGCGATTTTCGGCGAGCTTTTCTTCCTCGGGAAACTGCGAGGCTCTTTTTGGAAATCGTTGCCCGAGCCGGAAAGGGCGTATTCCAAAATTTCACGGAGATCTTCGCGATAAAAGGAATTTTCAAAGCGTCGATTCGAGACAACGAGTCGGCGGACGCTTTATAACCGCTCTCCCTCGATTTCAGTCGATAAAATTCCCCCGTAAAAAGATTCGAGCACAAAGCGGGAGAGAATCCGAGCACTGTTTTTGGACAGAGACGTATGAAAACGCAAAGTCCAGGGATTTCCGGATAAAGGAACGAGGCCGTAGACCGCGATGGCGATCCATTGAACCGGCGCGGCGTTACGAATAATAACGCACGGTTTCCCGTATATTACGCGCAGCTCCTCGAATCACGATTCGTCCGGTTCCGAGGCATCGTGAACGAGAACGAGCATCGGTTAAGGAGGAAGTTTTCCATATATATCAGAGAATGGTCTCGGCATAGATCGGGTACGCGCGGATGTCGAGCATGCAGTTTTATGTCTCGGGTCGGATCGGACGCGGACCCACCGGTCCTGGAGTTTGCATGCGCGTCGTTCCCGTTATTGAATTATTAATATAAAGTCGGACATCTGGACGGGCCATATTTCGGGCCGCGTTTCGCCGGCCGAGAGCGACTAATAAAATTTCCTCGGCCGGCGCGCCGCGGAACCGACTCCAAAAAACATCGATTTTTATGCCCGCGCTCGAACCGAGTTTTCCCAGATGCGGATTCCGGAAGGCGGGGCCAGTTGTTCGAAGCGAGTTCCAACGAATAGTTATTCGCATCCTGCAAATATTCGGACGTCGATTCGACGCGAAGTCGAATGTTCTTCGTCCAAGTTTGAGCCTCGATTCTCAAAGCTCGCGGTTTCCGCGAAGTTGGCCGATCGATTCCGTAAGAAACGATCGTGGCCGTGCAACGGGAAAGAATTTCGGGAATCTCTGTCTAATCTCGTGAAACCGAGATTCACGGTGCAGCCCCGGGAATGCATTAAACTTTTGATCGAATTTGCGGCACGGCCGAAGATGCGCGCAAGAATATCGGAGATCCCCGTTTCCCCTTCCCGCGGGTTCCGCCCCATAGCGAGCAGTCTCCGTTCTTCGGGCCCTGCGAATTTGTTCCGACTACGATCTACGATTTAACCTGTTTGTCGACTGCGCGGAGGAGAACGGTCGTGATAAATCTGGCGATGCGGGAGATTAGAGATTAGAGATTCGAAATTCGAGGCGGAGAGCGGAAACTTGCGTTGCCGGATCGAGTTAAGGGTGCGATTGTTAACACAGTCTCTCCTCCCTTTCTCTCTCACCCCATCGCTCTACCTCTCTCCCTGCTGTTTGATACTCGGAGTTTCCGCTTACGCTCCTCGCGAGCTGATCAAACAGTTGAATTCTAATTACAAGACGCCGGGGATCGCTTCGATAATGAAACGTCCCGTGACTTCTTCGCGCGGTTTTAACCCGCCGCCTTCGGGTTTCCAATTAACCGCTGAGCGAACCTTTTTCCAGAATCACCGCGTCCCTTTGAAACCACAGGGGCACGCGCGAATCATTGTTTCGCCCGCGGTTATTGAAGCGATTTCGCATTTTGTCCAATCGTTGACGCACTGCTGACTGCCGAAAGTAACGGCAGTATGCGCGGACGGGCTCGTAATCTCTCAAACAAATTCGTCCAAATGAAAGTTAAAGATCGCGACGATGCGCAAAATGAAGCGCGTTCGCCGATCGATACAAGCGTCGAAACGTATCGCGGCGCGTTTCACGAGTCACGAAGTTGCGCGCGTTCGAGCGGAAACGCGGGCTCGCAAAAGAAAATTCTAACATTGCTTATCGACCGACCCGGATCTACCGTGTCCAGAAGAAATGAGATTTTCCTCGGACGGAACGACTCTAGATGATTATTGTAGATTCGAAGTGCAGCGAAACGGACCGACATCGATGGTTTTCTGATTAGGAAAGGAGCGGAGCGACCCGGCGAAAATGTACTGCTCGACGGTGACTCAGTACGAGGAGAAGAAAAAGGTCGACCGGAGCGTGGACGAGGACGTGGAACCATTTCCGGTGGCGAGAGAACAAACCCGAGTTAGTCAGCCGATAATATGGTTGAATGTGATTGGTATCGTAGTGCTTCATATCCTGCCCGTTTACGGCTTCGTGACCCACTATCGGGACGCCAAGTTCTGGACCTGGATCTGGAGTAAGTAAAACGTCCCTCGGTATCCTAACTTGTTTGCCCGGCTCTCGAAAATCTTGTTACGCCAGCGTGCAGCCCTGAACATCGACGACGGACCGACGCGAGGGAAAAGAACTGTACCGGCGGAAAGAGAAAAATTCTACGGCGTGAAAAATTGCCGGCGTTCGAACCGCTGGAACTTCGCGACAAAAAATCGTACGTCGATCGCTCCGAGCTTATTTCGAAGTTCGAAGCGTCCGCTTTCGAAACGTTTAATTGCTTTTTCTGAAAAAATTTCCTGCGTCGCGCGCAACGGGGAAAAAGCAGAGTCGCTTTTATCTCTCGCGAAAATTCTGCGAATTTTCCGGAAGGATTTTTCCGTCGTTAAAAAATTCTGTCGCGAGATAAAACGGCGACGGCGATAAAGATCGGAGTCTCCTCTTTTCGACGATCACCGAAAACTCGACGCACGATTTTTTCTCGCCGCTTCGTCGAACTTTGAACGACGAGCGTGCCGCCCAGCATTCGAATAACCCGTGGCATAGATATTGCGAATCGCGCAAGGCCGTAATAAAAATGTCGGTGCCCCGTGGCTAAAACAAACCGATCTTACGATGCTCGCTCGTAATTTCTGAGATATCTTTTTAGCGACGCAAACGTTGAACAGGGAGCCGCCCGGACGCGTCGACGGTCAGATCGTCGGCAATGTTTTCTAATGACTGAATTTTTCAACGAATTTCTTTTCACGAAGCCATCGCCTATGGGATCACCGCTGGCTACGGGGTTACGGCGGGCATGCATCGACTGTGGGCGCACAGATGTTACTCGGCCAAGACACCTGTGCGAGTTTTTTTGGCCCTTCTGTATTGCATGATGGGACAGGTTGGTATGTCGGTTCCGAGCCGCTTTTTCAGCACCGATCGATCCAAATTTTTCGGGATACGCAACGGTTTCGAAAAGTATCCGAACGGTACATTTTAGATTTCCGCGGGTAATTAGCCGATGCAAAAGTTGTTACAATTTCGCAGACGCGAATCGTACGACGACGACACCGGGCTCGTTTCGAAGCTCGGAGCTTCCGATTTCACGTTAAAATCGAAACGTCTCTAAAAACCTTGCAACATTTTTTTCCCCGAACGAATCGACCGTGGGTTCGAAGGTCGAAGCCTCCCCTTCGCAACGACCTCTCGAAACTCGGCGGACGATACGTTTTAGGCGTTTTATGGAACAGAAACTGGAGACAAATCCGGTCGCGTCGAGTTCCCATATATCTTGTATCGTCGTAAAGTAGACTTTTCGTCCGAGGCTCGATAAAGTGACCGGAAAAAATCGCGCGTCAAAGTTTAAGGGGTCGCTGCGAAGGGGAGATTTCAATCTTCGAATCTACGTTAGGATCGGCCGTGAAAAAAATTGTCCACCGTACGTACAGACCCTTCGAACCTTGACATCCACGAGGAGAAGCACGACTCCAGTTTCCCATCGATTACATCGTTCGGGAAAACGTTGCGAAGAAACGAACAACGCGTAGCAAAATCAGAAGCTTCGAGCTTCGAAACGAGTCCAAGTTCGTCGTTCGACGTCTCTCTTTTTTTAGAAAATTCTAACGAATCGAACGTCGCCGATTTGTCGCGACGGGAAACGCGGCGATACTTTTTGCAGCCTGCGCGGGTACTGTTAGTTTTCCACGAACGCATCGGATTATAACGATCGACGACTTTCGCTGAACCAGACGCACTTCTACAAGTGGCTACGAGACCACAGGACGCATCACAAGTTCTCGGAAACGCCGGCGGACCCACACGACGCGACCCGGGGCTTCTTTTTCTCGCACATGGGCTGGTTAATGATGAAACGACATCCGGCCGTCAAGGAGTACGGCAGCAAAATCGATATGAGCGACATCGCAGCCGATCCTGTAATCAAATTCTTTGACCGGTGAGAGACACGCCTCTGCCAACTGCCAACTACAGAATCCCGACACCGACACAGACACCCGACACTTTCATCCGTTTCCTGCAACTGCATGGCTCCATCCAAATGCACTTGTGCCCGCACCGATGCTTTTACGACGCAGAAGTAAGGAAGAGCGTTTCTGCTTCGGATACGCCGGGTCTTGCTAATTGCTGATGCGATTTCAGATTATTCCGTCGTTAATTCGAAGAGATAGAAGGGGCCGATATTATGCTTCTCGCGCGGCGAAGATATTCTCGCGAATTTCAGACAGGCATCGTTTCAGGAAAATTGTAACAACGCCTGCTGAAAATATTCCGCGATCGTTTTATTAGAAAGCGGAAAGCGAGCGCGTTGGAAGGGTCAACGATCGGAACCAAACGCTCTTCCGGTTTCAACGAAACATCGTGCCACCGTTCGCAACGTGGAAAAAGCATCGTCGCTTTTCAATTCCACGATCATTTTTTCGAACAGCTTCCCGTGGAACGCTTTCCGGCGGAGTCGCTTTCCTTATCGAAAGCGTTCCCCATGTCCGAAGACTGCGGATGGCCTAACAGCGCGGCACGCGGCGGTATTAGTTACGAACAACAACTACTGCAAGTATAATTAACACGGAAGCCATTTTGAAACTGGCAGAATGGCACTGTGCTCTCCTTTAACCGTTAACCGGGCGGACCGAATCGCCGTCTCTGCTCGACTACGTATCCCAACTATCGTCCATTCCTCCTACCGTTTACAGACATTCTGGAGTTCGCCCTCTCTTTTCAATTCGTCCCGAGAGTCGAGTGCTCGAAGCCGAGTCCAACGCGAAATAAAATGGTCTCGCGTGCTCCGAAATCCTACGAAGCTTCGTGGCCAAAGGGAACGAACGCGCGCGGCTTAAATAACAATAACGACGACGGTTGATTAACAAAAATAACGAGCAAATTATATAACGCAACAACGACAATAACGACTCGATTTCGACAACGACAGCAATAGCAACACGACTTCGAAAACGTACGACTTTGCTCGCTCACGACTCTGCTTCGAATGCCTCGATCTTTTTTCCTTCGGCTCTTCCACCCTTGCCAATCTTCCCTTCGTTAATTCTTTTTTCTCTCTATCTTTCCCTTCTTCTCTATCTTTCGGCTACGCAGGACTTCGAGGAACCTAACGCGAACGGTAAGCTTACGGTTAATCGAAGCTGCCCAAACACTCCGCGAATGTCTACAGTAATGTCTCCCTAATTGACGCTCAGATTGTCCACAAAAATGGGCAATTTGGGAAGAAGAGATACGATTATTCGAGCCTCGGAGCTCGTTTTTATAATTACCAATTGGCGATAACTATAAAAACGAGCCAAAATTCTCGAATAATCGTATCTTCTCTTTCAAAATTGACCATTTTTGTGGACAATCCGAGCATCAATTAGAGAGACATTACCGAACCCCGTTCGTTCAGTATTTTAACTCGCTCTCGATCATTCCGCCCTTAATACCCGGAAGAGCCCTACGGTATACTCAACGACGAATCGTCCGCATAGATCCCGAAACAGTCGGTTCAGTCGTTTCCATCGGATTTAGTCGGAGCGGTGAATCGACTCGAAGCGGTTAGTTAACTTTTGGTTCTCGAACCATTGGGCAGACTTCGTTCGTTTACCTATCGGTTCACTTTCGCACGGTTTCTGAATCTGGTTCTCCGAGATAGACGCTCGAACGACAAAGTAGACGAAGCAGAGAAGAGCCTCGATTATCTCGGTGGAGCGCTATTCGATCCGGTAGCCAAGGCTCTATCGGACAGATTCGATAGCGGATTCCGACGCCCCGCGATCGAAAAGACGACGTTTCGAGCACGCTAAACGTCTCGCACGTTTCCCAGCCACTTCGAGATCATCATGCTGTGGATGACATTCGTGTTCCCGACGCTGGTGCCCGTGCTGTTCTGGGACGAGACGTGGTACATCGCCTCGCACGCGGTGCTGATCCGGTACGTCTGGTCGCTGCACGCGACCTTCTCGGTGAACAGTTTCGCTCACATGTGGGGCAACCGACCGTACAACAGGCGAGTATCCTCACCGGTCGCGCCCGGTCGTCGGTCGACCGTGACCGAGCGAACCCAATTAGAGAAAGATACGCGCTTGGCTAACGGAAACAAAAACGTCGCCTCCGCAGCAAGGTGAAGCCGACGGAGAACGCGGCCGTGTCTTTCTTCGCGCTGGGCNAATGGACAATCTGGGAAGAAGAGATACGATTATTCGAGCCTCGGAGCTCGTTTTTATAATTACCAATTGGCGATAACTATAAAAACGAGCCAAAATTCTCGAATAATCGTATCTTCTCTTTCAAAATTGACCATTTTTGTGGACAATCCGAGCATCAATTAGAGAGACATTACCGAACCCCGTTCGTTCAGTATTTTAACTCGCTCTCGATCATTCCGCCCTTAATACCCGGAAGAGCCCTACGGTATACTCAACGACGAATCGTCCGCATAGATCCCGAAACAGTCGGTTCAGTCGTTTCCATCGGATTTAGTCGGAGCGGTGAATCGACTCGAAGCGGTTAGTTAACTTTTGGTTCTCGAACCATTGGGCAGACTTCGTTCGTTTACCTATCGGTTCACTTTCGCACGGTTTCTGAATCTGGTTCTCCGAGATAGACGCTCGAACGACAAAGTAGACGAAGCAGAGAAGAGCCTCGATTATCTCGGTGGAGCGCTATTCGATCCGGTAGCCAAGGCTCTATCGGACAGATTCGATAGCGGATTCCGACGCCCCGCGATCGAAAAGACGACGTTTCGAGCACGCTAAACGTCTCGCACGTTTCCCAGCCACTTCGAGATCATCATGCTGTGGATGACATTCGTGTTCCCGACGCTGGTGCCCGTGCTGTTCTGGGACGAGACGTGGTACATCGCCTCGCACGCGGTGCTGATCCGGTACGTCTGGTCGCTGCACGCGACCTTCTCGGTGAACAGTTTCGCTCACATGTGGGGCAACCGACCGTACAACAGGCGAGTATCCTCACCGGTCGCGCCCGGTCGTCGGTCGACCGTGACCGAGCGAACCCAATTAGAGAAAGATACGCGCTTGGCTAACGGAAACAAAAACGTCGCCTCCGCAGCAAGGTGAAGCCGACGGAGAACGCGGCCGTGTCTTTCTTCGCGCTGGGCGAGGGATGGCACAATTACCATCACTCGTTCCCCTGGGACTACAAGGCCTCCGAGTTGGGCTCCTACGGCCTGAACACCACCACGGCGTTCATAGAGCTGTTGGCGTACTTGGGTCTCGCCTACGATCTGAAAACCTGCAAGGACGACCTGGTCGATCGGACCAGACTGAGAAAAGGGGACGGGACGGACAGTCTTTGGGGCCATCGGAGGCAACCGGAGGCACCGAGCCGTCCACTCGGAAACTAACCCGACGCGCGAGGCGCGACGTCGACGGCGACGGCGCCGTAAAGAGAGAGAGAGAGAGAGAGAGCACAGGCTCGGAAATATTGTAGCCGAGCGAGGAAAGTGGCCAGAAGAGCACCACTTCCGAAACGATTCTTCCTCCTTTCCCGTACCACGCGTCCCAAGCGCTAGTTTAATTTTACGCTCGTTGTAGTCGTTTCTGCCGCGCAGCTTTATTTACTTTTGTTTCCGCGATCTTGCCGCGGGCCAGGAACGAATTCGAACGATAGTCAACACCGTATTATACAGAGAACCGAAGATATTTGGGAATTTGTTCGCTTTGCTCCGTTTGTAAATAAATTATTTCTACGATCCGAGTGTCCGAGATCCGTTCCGCGCGTCATCGATGTTTTTCTAATTAGAGGCCGGTTCCCCGGCGCGAGGATTAAACGCGCAGCCCAACATTTATCCATCCTTATCGTTTGGAAAGCCTTCGCTCCCTGCCACTGTATGCTATACTACACGTAATCCCCTTAACGCTACTTTGGGGCGTGTGCCGTTGCAACGCTGCTGCTAATGAATAACTCGACCGCTTCGAATAAGTTCGGACCTGCTGGCGGATAGGTTGTTCCTCGCCGAAAGGTAGCCGACAGACCCGCGAACAACAAAGCGCTGCTGCGTTCGAAAAGTGTCTCGAGGCAACAATAGCGACCGGCGTTCCCCGGTTCCAGCATCTCCCGGATTCGAAGCAAAAGTTTCGAAAAGCGTTCGCGCGAACGAGCAGGCTAATTATCGCGCGTTGTCAACGGTAGAGAATTATCGGACGAGTCAAGACGATGTTTTCCACCGGCGTCGATCTTTGGATCGGCCGTTCCGAGGAAAGGAACCGCCGGCCGGGCTTTCTATCTCTTTCTCTCGGTTCATCCGCCGAGGAGTCTAATTGTATCCGTGAAATCCGCGGCCGAGCAATTATGAGAAAGAGGGAGGCTGGGCTGCCAATACCGAGAGCGGGTCGTCGGCCGGTAACGATTGGCAATGCTTCATCGCGGGAAAACCGATAAAAAGGTAATTAACTTATCGCGGGTAGCTGCGGAAGTTAAATGCATTTCGCGCAGCCGACCCGTAAAAACGGAGCTAATTTAATAACTCGTATTTCACCCGCACGTCCCGCGGATACATGTACGCGCGCGCACACACGCGTGCATTACGTATATTTCGCGCGTACATCCGTTGAACGTCGTGTCCATTTACCGGAAAATTTAAAAAATTAACGAGACGATTTTTTCGCGAACCGTCCGATCTCGCGCCGCGATCGTGCCCGAAGAAGCGGCGGAACCGCGCGGATCTTTCGAGCGAATTTTCATCGACGAATCGGCCCTAATTGTCCGCGATCGCGATCGCGTTTCGCGCGCCCGCTAGGGCCTGCCTTTGTGTCGGTCCCACGGCGGAACGAGAGGTGCGAATCGAAGGTATCGGGGCTCGTTATTCGTCGAAACGGCGCGGCACGGCGCGAAATTAATTATCGGCGCGGGAAACAACGGTAACCGAAGCTTCGACGATGCGGTAATTACGAACGGCGGAGGAGTGTCAGCTCGGGAAAAAACGCGTGATCCGGTCTGTTCGCTGTTGATTCGTGTTTCACGGATTCACGTACGAGGAACGCTGTTCGATCGTTATTAACACTTTATCGACCGCTAGCCTATTTATCGGCTTTTCGATTGCCAATGTTTATCGATCGCTAGCCTATTAATCGGCTTTTCGATTGCCAATGCTTATCGACCGATAGCCTATTAATCGACTTTTAGCTATCGACGGTTTTCGCTTCTTTACTGTTTTGTTAGTAGCTGACCTCCTGTATGCTGACCTCCCCATATCCTTATGAATTATAATAATAATAATTATTATTATTTATTATTATTTTTAAAGGAATAAGCACAACACAATGAATAGCGAAAATTTAGCNCGTCGCCTCCGCAGCAAGGTGAAGCCGACGGAGAACGCGGCCGTGTCTTTCTTCGCGCTGGGCGAGGGATGGCACAATTACCATCACTCGTTCCCCTGGGACTACAAGGCCTCCGAGTTGGGCTCCTACGGCCTGAACACCACCACGGCGTTCATAGAGCTGTTGGCGTACTTGGGTCTCGCCTACGATCTGAAAACCTGCAAGGACGACCTGGTCGATCGGACCAGACTGAGAAAAGGGGACGGGACGGACAGTCTTTGGGGCCATCGGAGGCAACCGGAGGCACCGAGCCGTCCACTCGGAAACTAACCCGACGCGCGAGGCGCGACGTCGACGGCGACGGCGCCGTAAAGAGAGAGAGAGAGAGAGAGAGCACAGGCTCGGAAATATTGTAGCCGAGCGAGGAAAGTGGCCAGAAGAGCACCACTTCCGAAACGATTCTTCCTCCTTTCCCGTACCACGCGTCCCAAGCGCTAGTTTAATTTTACGCTCGTTGTAGTCGTTTCTGCCGCGCAGCTTTATTTACTTTTGTTTCCGCGATCTTGCCGCGGGCCAGGAACGAATTCGAACGATAGTCAACACCGTATTATACAGAGAACCGAAGATATTTGGGAATTTGTTCGCTTTGCTCCGTTTGTAAATAAATTATTTCTACGATCCGAGTGTCCGAGATCCGTTCCGCGCGTCATCGATGTTTTTCTAATTAGAGGCCGGTTCCCCGGCGCGAGGATTAAACGCGCAGCCCAACATTTATCCATCCTTATCGTTTGGAAAGCCTTCGCTCCCTGCCACTGTATGCTATACTACACGTAATCCCCTTAACGCTACTTTGGGGCGTGTGCCGTTGCAACGCTGCTGCTAATGAATAACTCGACCGCTTCGAATAAGTTCGGACCTGCTGGCGGATAGGTTGTTCCTCGCCGAAAGGTAGCCGACAGACCCGCGAACAACAAAGCGCTGCTGCGTTCGAAAAGTGTCTCGAGGCAACAATAGCGACCGGCGTTCCCCGGTTCCAGCATCTCCCGGATTCGAAGCAAAAGTTTCGAAAAGCGTTCGCGCGAACGAGCAGGCTAATTATCGCGCGTTGTCAACGGTAGAGAATTATCGGACGAGTCAAGACGATGTTTTCCACCGGCGTCGATCTTTGGATCGGCCGTTCCGAGGAAAGGAACCGCCGGCCGGGCTTTCTATCTCTTTCTCTCGGTTCATCCGCCGAGGAGTCTAATTGTATCCGTGAAATCCGCGGCCGAGCAATTATGAGAAAGAGGGAGGCTGGGCTGCCAATACCGAGAGCGGGTCGTCGGCCGGTAACGATTGGCAATGCTTCATCGCGGGAAAACCGATAAAAAGGTAATTAACTTATCGCGGGTAGCTGCGGAAGTTAAATGCATTTCGCGCAGCCGACCCGTAAAAACGGAGCTAATTTAATAACTCGTATTTCACCCGCACGTCCCGCGGATACATGTACGCGCGCGCACACACGCGTGCATTACGTATATTTCGCGCGTACATCCGTTGAACGTCGTGTCCATTTACCGGAAAATTTAAAAAATTAACGAGACGATTTTTTCGCGAACCGTCCGATCTCGCGCCGCGATCGTGCCCGAAGAAGCGGCGGAACCGCGCGGATCTTTCGAGCGAATTTTCATCGACGAATCGGCCCTAATTGTCCGCGATCGCGATCGCGTTTCGCGCGCCCGCTAGGGCCTGCCTTTGTGTCGGTCCCACGGCGGAACGAGAGGTGCGAATCGAAGGTATCGGGGCTCGTTATTCGTCGAAACGGCGCGGCACGGCGCGAAATTAATTATCGGCGCGGGAAACAACGGTAACCGAAGCTTCGACGATGCGGTAATTACGAACGGCGGAGGAGTGTCAGCTCGGGAAAAAACGCGTGATCCGGTCTGTTCGCTGTTGATTCGTGTTTCACGGATTCACGTACGAGGAACGCTGTTCGATCGTTATTAACACTTTATCGACCGCTAGCCTATTTATCGGCTTTTCGATTGCCAATGTTTATCGATCGCTAGCCTATTAATCGGCTTTTCGATTGCCAATGCTTATCGACCGATAGCCTATTAATCGACTTTTAGCTATCGACGGTTTTCGCTTCTTTACTGTTTTGTTAGTAGCTGACCTCCTGTATGCTGACCTCCCCATATCCTTATGAATTATAATAATAATAATTATTATTATTTATTATTATTTTTAAAGGAATAAGCACAACACAATGAATAGCGAAAATTTAGCCGGTACTGGGAGCAAATGCGCGCGCGACTAAGCCAGTCCTTACTGAGTGGCAGCCTCAACCACGACCGGACGATAAAGTGTTAAAATCGTTATTAAAATCGTTAGATCGTTATTAAAAGCGCTACCAAAAGCACTCGAGGCTTCGCCCTCGAGAATGAGCCGAAAATCAAAGCGATACGACCATCTTTGACAAGATCGCAGATCTCTGGCAACGTCCTGGATTCGGCTGCCGTTGCAACGATCAAAACACATATACGGGGTATTCGCGAACACTCTGTATAAAACGGTAAAACGTTCGAGGCGATACATATTATATTTCGTCGGCGTCGCGTTTCGTTCACGTTTTCGGGGAAAGTGGCCGGTGGCGCCGCGATCATTATCGGCCGGTGATCGATAGCGAGATGAAAAGAACCGCGGGGTATCCGATTACTCGGCTCGTATCGGATCGGCGAACGACCCTCTCGCATGCAGGCGAATCAAATTTATTCCGCCGCCTTCGGGAGCCGCCGCGGGCGGCGACGGTGACGGCGAAAGACACATCGGAGCCGCGCACTGACAGGAATGTGTCTTATCGATCCGTTCTATTGCGGTGGTCATAACGAATTCATGGAGGAAAATGCCCGACATGGTCGTCCAGGAGGCAAGAATACACCGCGTGAAACCGGAGACGCCGCGGCGCATCGCGCCGATTTCCCCGTCTCGTATCGTTAATCGATACGCGCGACTACTGGAATCGTCGGCAACTACCGGGAGCCTTGCCGCGCGACGTCGCCCGCAAACGGGAAAGTTCCGTGCTCCTCGAATTCGGATCGGTTTCGTTTAATCGAGATCGCCGCGCCGCGTTCTTCTTCGCGGCGGCGGCGACGATAATCGTCCGAGCGCCTCGAAAGTTTCCCGAGCGACATCGAGCCCCGGATTGCCTCCCGCGGCGATCCGACTATGGCAATCTGTTCGAACGAGACGTAATTATCGATCGGGTTATCGACTGTCGAACGATATTGTATAATGCGGCATCGGTGCAGCGGCCGGGGAGAGCTCGCGTTCGGCCGGAGCAGCGTTTTAATATAGCCGAACGCGAACATCGTTGAAAATTGGTAAACGATGAAAAACGCTCGCGACCGAAAAATTGGCTTTCCGATGGAAAAATCCTCCGATATTATGAAT